CTATATAAATGCTAAAACAGGCAAAAGAAATTTTCTCAAAATTTTATTGAAATGACTATAAAGTCTTAACTATCATTAAAGTCTATCTCTGTTATATAACATTTTATCACTTTTAAAAAAAAAAAATTCTTTTGATGGGATGACTAATATTAAAGTAATGTATCTCATTAGTAATTCAATCTAATATGCTTAACTTAAGCGTATTTGATTCATTTATCATAATTCGTTAAAAAAATAGTAAATGGACAATTATATATCAAATTTAAATAAGTAGATGATTAGTATTATTGAAAGGCTCATAAATAGATATTCGAGTTTATTTTAATACCCTTCAGATTCAGATATGGATTCTTCGCTCCTCTCACATTCGTTCGAGCTGCTTCGCTCCTTCCTTCTATCACTTCTTTCATAACATCTGTTAGCAATCATTAGTTATTCTTTCTCTTTCTCTAAGGTAATTCACAGCACACTTCGTATATGTATGATTGAATGTCGACACCATGAGAAAAGACTAGCCTAGAGTTCATCATGTTCAAGCTATCAAGCTAGTCGAATCCTACTACCCTTACTTAACCACCGGGAGTAGATTCGATAACAAGATTCTTACAAAGAGAAAGCACTAACCTCTAGTCTCGATTTTCCCTTTCTTCCTCTACCCTTTGTGGCCCATAGCCATAGAAAAGAAAACGAGGATCAGAAGTTAAGTTTGCTCCAGTGCTTGGCTCATCAACTAGTTCTATTCAAAGCAAGACATCTAAGGCTAGGAACCAGGGCACTCATCTCTATCAATGCAATGACTTAGGGGGACAGCTCAATCCTTTAAGCTAAAAGTAGCCTTTTTTCTTATGTGCGAAAGCATGCAACCAAAGCAATTAGTAGAAAGGGAAAGGGCACCACTCAAGCTTTCGAAAGCAAAGAACTTATTTCTTTTTTTTTTCTTCTGGTAAGTGGTCTATCTCCATGATGATAGCTCTTCTTTTATTCAAGATTGATATTCCCCTTTGCCTTTTGAGCTGGGGCAATCAATCAGTCCATTCATTCCTGCCCTTCATTCAATAGATCGCTTAGCTCTACTTCTTAGAAAATCCCCTTGTTCATGGCTTTGAATTTTTTGTAATGCTTTTTTTGTAAAGATCTCGATGACCGCTTAATTCATCTTTCCTTTACTGCTCCTGAATGAGAAGTGGTTTTTCTCATTTTGATGGTCTTGGCCTGAGAAAAGTGATCTCTGGAACTGAAAGCTTTTCGACTAAAAAGTGACCAATATAATAGGTTTTAGAGTAGCTCTTTCCAAATAGGTCGAGTAGCTCTATATATAAATAGAATGAAAAGGATGGGATTCACACGCACAGCCTTATCCTATGAGTTTGCCTATGTTATGCACCTGCCTTTGAAAGCCTTTCCGCTGGCTCCTAGAGGAGGCCTCATTAAACCTCGTTAGCATTTCAAAAAGAATGCTCAGCTCAAAATAAATGGTCAAAGGAATTAATGATTTGTCTTTAATATCTGATCTTCGCCTAGTCTTAGAACCCGCACTGTGGAGAGGGGAATAAGTACCTCTTTCTGTAACTCTCCTCCCAGATATAGGTCTTCTTGGAAATGAGAACACTACTGCTGACTTATAACCTAGTCACTCCCCATCTTCATCCTAGATGCCACTGGTATTATTCATCTATATATGGATGACTCCTACTTTTTCCCCAATGGAATGATCTGGACCCTTGGGAAAGGGCCTCTAAATCTGATGACCTTGGCTGAAAAGCTCCCAATTAGGTCAGTAGTTGGCCGAGTAGCAGATAGACCAAATAAGTACAATAGCTTTTTACAGCTGAAGGAGCTCTATTTTTTATTCTATTCTATTTGGTATTCTATAGCCTACGTACTTACCTTTAGGGGATCAAAGTTTGATGAATCTTCAGTGGTTCCTTCCATCGACGTCATCGAACCACGTTAGCAATCCAAAAAACTGGAAGCTCGAAATGATCAGTCAAAAGAATTAATCCGTTTAGTTCTGTTCTTCTCCGTCTTTTATAGCACACCCATGTAGAGGGATCTTTCTGACGCTAAGCATGCTCCATCTCCTGTCCAAGTGAAGAATATCTTACAAAAGTCCTTCCAACTTGCATCCTTCTTGTACCATTAAGAATGGAACATCT